CTTGGTGAATTCATCCACTTTTGTGGCTTCGAATTTTGCGAAGTTCAAAATTTGCCAAGAACTACCAAATTAATTTCTATAGCTCAAATCTTTCTCCTTTGTCCTTAAAATCTCATACTTAAGATAACTTCCAATTTGTTGGCTCCACTAGGATGTTTAATCAAAACCAAAACTCATTGCCATCGAGTCAATTCTGACTCACGGTGACCTTATCAGGACAGGGCAGAACTGCCCCTGTGGGTTTCTGAGACAGTAACTCTTTTGGGGGTAGAAGGCCCAATCGTCCTCCGGTGGAGCACCTGGTAGTTTCTAACTGACCTTGAGGATCGCAGCCCAATGCATAACACGAAGCCCCCAAGGGGGTGGTCAACACACTCTCCAAAATGGTCTGCAACACCCAGATTCAAAGTTCTGACTTCTCCCCTACCAACCTGGCTCCAATTCCACGCTCCCCTATCGAAATAAATTGCAACTACACTCTCCCAGTTACCGAGGCTGAAATCTTTGGTATGCTCAATTCTTTTGCTCTCATATCCCATCTTCAAAGCATTAGTATGATTTTGCCATCTTTATATATAAATTAAATCCAGAATCGGATTACTTTTACACCACCCCCACTGCTACCACCCAAATCCAAGTAACTCACTAATTAATGGCTTACAGGCCATCCTCAGTATACAACAAAGGAGTCATTTTGAAATTTAAATCAAATCATGCCCCTCCTCTGTTCAAATGCCAGCATACCCCAGACCCCACTCTCAACTTACTTATAAACAAAAGCCAGAGTCTTAGCAATAGCCTAGAAAACCCCACAATAACGGTGCCTGACCTTAGGACTTGGATCTCATCTCTGACCACTGTCCCTCTCGCGTACTCTGCTAGGAAGGTGCTGCCCCTAGACCTTTGTACTTCGTATCTATCTGCTCTTCCCCCAGGTATCCACATGGCTTGCTTCCTTTCCTTTCCTTGCTTCCCAGGCCTTTTCCAATTATCTGAACTTTATCTTTACTTGCTTGGATGCCTGCCTGCTGTCTTTTTGCCTCTATTAACATGTAAGTTCCATGAGGCTAGAAGCTTTGTTTTATAAACTAGCCAACTCTTGGTGCTTAAATCTAGTACACATCAAATAAGTCCTAATTGAATGAACAAATCAAAACGAATTAGTGGATAAAACCAAGTCACCACTTTGAATAGCCTACCTCCATTATCTTGGACCCTTATGAACCTGGCCAGACAACAAGATTGCTGGGCTCTGGCTTGAAAAATATACATTAAGAATTTAGCCTCTATACAACCATTATGGAAAGTGATATGGTGTTACTTCAGAAAATTGGGAATACAAATTATATAGGATCCTATAATCACTTTGCTGGGTGCATACCGGGTATACTCATGCATAAGCTGGGTTTTTCAGCACATTTTTTTATGTAGTTTTTGTGGTAAAATTAGATGCCTCAGCTGATATTCGGGTCGGCTTATACTTGAGTAGATACGGTAACCTAAAGTAAGAGACATAACACAAACAGACATATACATTCCTATGTTCATGGCAGCACTGTTCACAATAGCAGGAAGTTAGAAACTTTGGTACATACACACAATGGAATACTATGCATCGCTAAAAAACAATGATGAAACCACGAAGCACCTCATGACATGGATGGGCCTGTAGATCATCGTGCTGAGTGAAGTGAGTCAATAAGAACGGACAAATACTGCATGACATGACTGCTATAAGGGTAAAAACCAAGAGAAAGCCTCGACACCAAAAGGAACACACTTCAGAGGTTATGGAGGTGGGCAAGGCAAGACACTAGTGAGCTGGCAGGGGTTGGCTTGGGTGAAGGGAAGTATGGAGGATGAGACAAGAGGAAGAAGAGCAATTGGGAAAATAATACAATATGAGGCTGATGAGTGGTTTGAACTCTTCAAGGTAGAGTTGATGGTTTGAAACCCCAACTCAATTCACAATGGGGGGGGGGGACCCTAGCCTCCATGGAAACTCGCTTTGTCAGGTGATCAAAAGATCAGGATGGTCCCCAGCCACCATTACTAAGTATTTTTATCAAAGGTTCTATGGAGAACTCCTGATCAAAATGGGATCAAAGCGGGAAATACAGAACATCATTTCAAATTCTCCTGGACTCGGCAAGTTTTCTAGAGCTGTGAAGGCTGGATAAACCCCTGAAACTATGGCGCTGAGGCAATCTTTAAACTTTAAACAACTAATACCCCCGGAGGCCTTCTTAAAAACCCAACAATAGGTTCACTCACTCACTCACTGCCATCCAGTAATGGTGACTCATAGAACCCCCTATGAATTTCAAAGACTGAAACTGTTTTCAGAAGTAGAAAGCCCAGTCTTTCTCCCTCATTGCTACTGGTGGTTTTGAACTGCCGACCATGCAGATGGCAACCAGATTCATAACCACTACAACACGAGGGCTCCTAGCTTACTAGTAAACAATCAACCTTGAGAATTATGGGGGGGAAAACCCAAAGTTTTATTCACACATAATTCACAAATTATACAATTCATTAGTTCAATCATTTTAAGGAGAGCTGTACAATCAGCACCACAATTTTAGAACATTTTCTTTGTTCTTGTACTCATCGTTATTAGCTCCCCAACCCCTTTTTTAAACGTTGATCTATATGAGATCAAATTGATAACGCCAACTCAAAAATGATTAGAGAGGAAACTTACAAGGCAGTGAAAGGAACAGATCAGCAAAAGCGCATGGGAACAGTTGCACAACTTGAAAAATGTATGAACAACGTCACTGCGTTGCACATGCAGAAACAGTTGAACTGGTGCTTTTGCTGTGCATATTCCCAACAACTAAATAGATAGATAAAAGAATCCAAGAGTGGTTGTAACCGTCTCTATCTGGCTCCCTTAAAGTGTTCCAAGCAAGTTCGGTTTCAATATAAAGAACTTGTTACAACCCATTTCCCTCCTGAGGAGAAAGTTTTTCTGGCATTCTGTGCGATTTCAACACAGATTAAAACATTTTTCCCCCCTGGATAGTTCCCTTTCAATTCTATCTCCACATTGATTCTTCTCAATCATCTACGCTTTGTTATTTTCCATTCACTGCACATACAGTTAGGAGCTCTGGTTTTCCATACTGCTTAATTAACCCTGCAAATTAAATTGCATGAAATTATAAATGGAAATTCTGGGAGAATTCACATGCACATCTAGATAACATAATCTAATTTTTTATAATCTAAATTTTAAACTACTGTAGGCCCTTTTACTTAGATGATTTCATTTTCTGTAGTATATCAAAGGAGCTTAATCATCCATGAAGAAAGTGGCTTCAAGATCTGAGTAGGTTGTATAAGACTCTATTGAGTTATGGAACTTAATCAATGAAAACTCTAAACGGTTAAATTCACTGCTATAAAGTCCATACTGACTCAAAGTGACCCAACAGGGCAGAGCAGAACTGCTCCCGTGATGTTCCAGGACTGTAACCCTTCATGGGAGTAAAAAGCAGTCTTTCTCCCACAGAGCTGCTAGTGGTTTTGAACGGCTCACCTTGTGGATAACAGAAAGCCCAAAATACTAAAGGCATTCTTCAAATTAGTCTTTAGAGTCACCGTTTCAAATTGTTTTTATACATACTGATAATCACTTTCTTTGAAAATGAGGTATATTCTCTCTGATCAGGAAATAGCAACAGGTGGCAGGTCATAAACACAGTTACTACATAATTGTTTGCACGTGAGAATTTAAAATGCGACGTGCTTCTATTTTACAACCCTTACAAAAATCAAGATCGTTAAATTCACTGTACCATACAATAAGAGTAATTTTATATTCAAACAGTGGAATGGTAATACAATATTTGAAAATTAAGTTTCCATGTTGTATAAATTCAATTGTATGATAACATATGGTGGAGAAAATGTACAATTCATATCTAGTCCTGAGGAATGTGCTTTTACTGATAACTTAATAAACTTAGTGCCATTTTACCCCCATACCTATGAGAAATGGAGGAGCCCTGGAAACACAGAGGGTTAAGCTTTGGGCTACAAACTGCTAGGTTTGCGGTTGGAAACTACCCAGCAGTCCAAGGGAGAAAGATAAGGCTTTCGACACCTGTAAAGAGTTAGTTTTAGAAACTCACAAGGGCAGTTCTATCCTCTCTTAAAGGGTCCCTATGAATTGGAATCAAGTGGATGGCAGGGAGTTTGTTTTTTAACTATTCAAAGCATTCTATAATGGGCTCAATCAGATTGGATGGAATGCTAAAACTTTCACTCCCAAAACCTAAAAAGCCGTGACCTGCCATCTCCCATTTAACACTGCTTCAAAGAGAGACTGTCTTTCCACTTCCACTCCCGACTCTCAATAGCAAAAGCAAAAATTAAAGGAGAGGGAAAGAAAAACAAGGATCCAGCCCCTCCGAGCTGAGCGTCTCTTTCCAGTGAGTGCCTGTGTGGCCCAGAAAGTTACCGACTGCTGCCATGAGCGCCGGGACCACCTGGGAGGAGCTTCAAGTGCCTCCCGAGTTCCAAACTACTCCACAGGCAAGAACGCTGGACAAGATTACCCCAAAAAGTGGCGGCACAGGTAGCAGCCAACACGCATTCCTCCCTTCCCAGAAAGGAAGCGGTTACAAGGAACGCAGAGACCCGCGGAAACTGGAAGGTGACGATTTCGGGTGGGGCTACCTTTGCCCAGATCCAGGAAGGCAGGGAAGCGTGAGGAGGAGGTGTGAGGGGATCAGGCCACAACACCCTTCCTTCATCTTCCCACACAGCTGGGGGACACGGGGTGTTGGGGGCACCCTGCAGCTTGTCACCGAAACCGGAACTCGAGACGTGGCGAACGGTGGTGAGGCGCTGGGGGGCTCGGCAGGCGACTCCCCCGACTCCCGGGGTCCCCAGCAGCCGGAACCAAGGATGCCAACGTCCCGACGAGCGCGGCGCTCCGGGACGCCCCACCCGCCAGCCTGCACCCCGCGCCGGCCGGCCGCGCTTACCTGCTGCACCCCGAGGAACTGGTAGAAGTTGAGCTGCACCTCCTCCACCAAGTCGAACAACTCCAGGTCCCCGCTCTCCCAGCCGCGCGCCG